TTGGTGCATCGAGCTGGTGAGAGCCGTGCTGGAGGGACCCCGGACCCAGCAGGACCCTGTCACCCAGCCCCCTAACCCAGCTTCTGGCAGTTCCAGGCCTTTTTCCTGGTGGCCGACGACATCATGGATGCGTCCCTCACCCGCCGGGGGCAGCTCTGCTGGTACAAGAAGGTGGGAGCTCTCAGAAGGCCCCTGTTTGCTGTGCGGGGTGCAGGGTGTCCTGGAGGGTCAGGGTGTTGTGTGACACCTCTCTGCTCCCCTGCTACAGGAGGGGATTGGTCTGGATGCCATCAATGATGCCTTCCTCCTCGAGTCATCCGTCTACAGGCTGCTGAAGAAGTACTGTGGGGAGCGTCCGTACTACCTGCACCTCCTGGAGCTTTTCTTGCAGGTGAGCCTGGCCCCTGCATCTCCCTCCCACGTACCTGGCTTGGCTCTGGGCTGTTTCAGGGTGTTTGTGTGTGTGGATCTGGGGCTGTTTCTTAAGTTCCTGAGATCCTGCCAGACACACACTCTTACTTCAGACTTAGAGAGGAGCTGAAATGAAGCTTGGGTTTGGGGTTTCCAGTGCACTGTTGGGACTTTCCTGCAGGACTGTGTGAATAAATTTTTTCTTTCCTCTTCAGACTGCCTATCAGACCGAGCTTGGGCAGACGCTGGACCTCATCACTGCTCCCATTTCCCAGGTGGATTTGAATCGCTTCAGTGAGCAGAGGTGAAGAGCTGGAAGAGGACAGCGGTGCCAGCACTGCTGTGCCAGGGTGGCACTGCCTGCAGTCCCCTCTGGGCTGTGAGAGGGACAATGTCTTGTGGAGATGGCTCTGTAACCTACCCAGCTATGTGGAGCGGGTCTCGCTTGCACGGTCGGGGCTCAAGGGGCTGGTTTGGAGGGAGATGCTGCTTTTCTCCTGGTGGGAGGGGAAGGCCTGGGCTTCGTCACTGGGTATGCTTCTGCTGCTGCAGGTATAAGGCAATTGTGAAGTACAAGACTGCGTTCTACTCCTTCTACCTGCCTGTGGCTGCTGCCATGTACATGGTGAGTTCTATGGACAGCCTCAGGATATGGGACTGCCACAGGGGTCAGAGGGGGTTTGGGAGATGGGAGAAGTGATGGTGGAAGCCAGGTACTGGGAGGCTTGATTCCCTTTGCCCCCTTCTTAGGCTGGTATTGACAGCAAGGAGGAGCATGAGAATGCCAAAGCAATCTTGCTGGAGATGGGTGAATTCTTTCAGATCCAGGTGAGAGGTGGCTCCCCGACCCTTGGTGTGCATATTGACGCTGGGTGTGGTGCTCAGGTGTTCCCATCTCCATGCAGGATGATTACCTGGACTGCTTTGGGGACCCAGAGCTGACAGGGAAGGTTGGCACTGATATCCAGGACAATAAGTGCAGCTGGCTGGTGGTGGAGTGTCTGCGTCGGGTCACACCAGAGCAGAGGCGGATCCTGGAGGTAACACTGCTGGGTTGACAAACCCCCTGGAGCTGGGGGGAGGCAGTGTGGGCCCCCAACCCGAGGACAGGGCCTGGGGGGAGCCAGTAGTGGCCACATTGTGTTGTTGCCTGGCTGGAAGGAGAGCTGGTGGTTCTGACTAGTTTAAGACATAGCAGGGGGAGCATGAGGTGACTCCTGCCATGCTTTGCAGTGCCCCTGAGCTGCACCTTGGCCTGACATGTTTGGGTGTTTTTCAGGAGAACTATGGTTGCAAGGAGCCCGAGAAGGTGGCAAAGGTGAAGGAGCTGTATGAAGCTTTGGGTATGAGGGCTGTTTTCCAGGAGTATGAGGAGAGCA